CACAGGGCGCTGCTCTGTTGCTGTCACAGGGCGCTGGGTTGTCGCCGTCACAGGTCGCTGTGCTGTCATGGTCTCTTGTTTTTTTGCGAGGCACCTGGAAAACTGAACATATCACAGTGGCTTCAGGAAAGTGTAGCTAAGTGGCGTCGATATTGCGTGATTCAAGAGTAGTTTGCGGCATTACAGAATTAATATTCATTGTGAACTTTCTTTGATTTGAAGAATTACACCACGGAAGAATGCTTCACACACCTACACACATGCATTGTATTGTGTCGAATATGATCATATGCTAGGCCATGGCTTGTTGAACACTTCCTAAAAACCGAAATGATTGCAGAAACGAATATTATCCATTGCTAGACAACTAATGGTTGCAACAAGTTTCGCAATAACGAACATGCTTGGAGAGATGAAATCGTTTCCCAAATTAACACAAGATTCCGAGACAACCGATTCTTCGAAAACAGTAATGGAACCCTTGAACTTGGTGACTTCTATGAGGACTGCGTGGTAGTTAAAAAAGTCAGTCGATTCGTGATTTTGTTAAGAGAGACGTCGTTCAAGGCATTCAGAAAGTCATTCATAAGGAAATTCAGAAGGCAGTTGAATAGTTGAAAGTTTAAGCAGATAAGATTCGTTACCAAGCAACGACTAGCAAGGGGACGTTGAAGACTTCCTTTTGTGTGTTATAGTCACAGTAATATTTAGAGTGTTATAATTATTTGTTGTTACGACGCGTGTCTAGCAAAAAAAGTAAAAAAAAAAAAGTAAAGGTATCCGTGTAACAGGCCGTGGAAGCCCATAGGGTTGTGAGATGTTGCACATTTTCTAGACAATCGGCTCATAGATGGCGGAAAGATTGTCAGCCTTACGTGCCGGCTGCCCTTTACCCCCAAGAATATTCTTAGTACTCATTTCTGTTAGAGGATGAGTCGACCCCAGGGCCATAGTGCGGCTGCAATGATTAGGTCAATTGAAAAAATCCATGATCTCATCGGGACTTGAACCCGCGACCTCCCTGCTTGTAGCATACTACCTCAACCAACTACGTTACAGCGTAGCCCTTGTGAGTGTCCAATAATTCTATTCATCTGATCCAGAACCCATTATAATTATTCACACCAATCAGGAATATGTGACAGTACGTATTTCTTTGTTGTGTGTTCCCGTGCCAAGATGCAACGGTGTTCCACATTCACGAGTACATAAGAATATGCCATTATCCATTATCCTCGGATAAATAAAACCACAACCTCATACACTAATTATGAATGCTAATATTACAATGCGATATGCAGTATATCAGGTAGGTCTCTCGCATTCAAGCCTTGCACTGATATGATGTCTTCAAGGTGTGCTGCAAGTCTGTTATCTTATCAAATTCGTATTAGATGTAATAATTTATTTTTACTTTGTTTCTAATTATTTTATAAATTTCATATAATGTTGTGGCGTATGGTCTCGTCACAAACGATGACTCTGTAAACAGCGGCCGTTGCTTGGCAACGGCCTCACGCACGCAACAAGAGAAAAACTGCGATTTCTTAGTGGTTAGAAAGGGGACATTACGTAAGGACTTCAGTTAAAGGAATTGTCGTCCTGATCGGCGGTAAACCGCCAGCGTTAAATTCACTTTGACTTTGACATTGCGGTCATAAAATATGGTGAAGAGTATCGTGGGACTTAAACCAAGGATCACCGTGCTGTTGAGGGCCTGCAGCAGTTTAACAGCTAGTTAAGTTCATTTGTGAGACAATGGCCATCCGGGAATGATCTCAGCGTGGAAGCTGAAGAATCTCCACTGTTAGAAGCCATTGTAGACACTGTGGCGTGGATTCTAGTGATGTGTAAACTGTGGAGATCAGCGATGGCGCTATAATTAAGTGTAGTCACGAATCGTGTGCTAAAATGGTCAATAAACGAATCACCAAAACCAATTTTCCTCTATTGTCACTCATAGACGTGACAATATCTATGACACATCTAATTTGACAATTTGACAGAAACACATTTTTTCAATCAGCATGATAATCTGCTTTTTAATTTCAGTATGAACATGTCTGAAGTCTGCTTACCTTCTCACATACCCATCTTCGGATGCTCTCGAAGCACCCGCAGGTGGACGAGTCTCGGGAGTCTTCTGTGCCCTCTCCCGTGTTGTCTGGGCATTTCCTCTCATAAGGATCTTCATCACTATCCAAGTCATTCTGAAAGGGACAACTAATTTTATCGAAGCTTCGGTTCATATTTTAGTTGGCAAGACTGCTTATGAGTTCTATACAATTCTTACTTCCAAAATTTGCCAGACACGTATGTTTCAGTCAACATGACAATCTGTCTTTTTAGTTTCAGTATGAACATGTCTGAAATCTGCTTACTTGGTTGCATAGTATCCATTTTTGGACCCACCCGAAGCAGCCGCTGATGGACGAGTCTCGGGCCTGTTTTGTGCTCTCTCGGAGTTCGTCATGAGAACAGCAGTTGTCACCTTCTGTTTCGGCCGGAACACAAGCTCGAATGTTCTGCGTAACACGTTCCATTTCCAAACCAGAAAGACCTATGTTAACAGAAATTTCCGTGGATTTTTTCACGTTATTACTTACACAGTCTTTTCTGGCGATAGGTTGAAATGCCAATTGAANTATGTAACAAAGAAAATATGTCACGATTATGTTACCTGAGATCAGGAAATTAATTAGTTGAAGTCTAATTGATATGAAAGTACATATATGTGCGTTTGTGTTTTAAACGTTATGCTTTAAAAGCAACTAACATATTGTCACATGTATGAGTGGCCACAGACTTGGTTAGGATTGGTGAATAGAGTTACTGACCATGTACTGGTCGTAACTACAAATAACTATAATATTATTACTGATTTCCACAATTCACAAGTTACTACATGCTAAGTTTTCTTAGTTTGTTTTACTAATCGTTACCTGTAATGGATTTTAACGCTGAAGGTTCTCCCAGTTCGAGTAATATCAAATGCAGTGGAGCCCTGGTTATATTCCTTTGGACGGACAAAACAGAAAATCGACTCGTAACAGTTTTTCTACTGTTGCGGGCGGTTACCTAGCAATAGCCCAGGTATCATTTACCAGTTTCTATAGCAACAGTGTTACACGCAGCAATACAAGCTGGAACTTAGCATACGTAGTTAGGGAAATGTGGAATTGTTCACATCGGGTGTATTTTTAGTCTACTTTCCTACTTTTAACAAGAATTCTTTTGTCGTTGCATGTATATTCTTTGCCGCGGAAACTGCTTTACGTAGTTGCTGCTAGTATCTGCACTGTTGTCTAGTAAGGGGTATGGGATACACAGATATGACGGTGAT